AGAACTGGCTTTACTGATAAGATGCGCGTTAAATATCGCATGCGATTTATCATGCAGCCCTAGTAAAAACCTATTATTAAGTACAGTATGAACTTATGGGACTTTTGTAGTATGAAATTGAAACTGTGTAGAATGAGTTTCTTGAGAACCAAATCAGCATACAAGAATAAATTCTAAGGAATCATGCAAAGACTGGAGTAATGACTGCTGAAAATTCAGTTTTGCCATTACAAGAATAAGTAAAACTTTCAAATATATTATAAAAGAAAATAGTTTTTTTTTTTTACATTGCAATCATATTTCACAATACCTTTTTTTATTCTGTATTTTTAATCAAATAACAGACCCTAAATGTTTGACCAGTAATGTACAATGTACAGTAATGTAATTTAAATTAATATTAATTGAATTCCGTTATGCTAGACTGACAGTTAAAGGTGTGCAGGAATACTGGAACATATGCAGCAGCCAGCCAATCAAAGTACAATTGGCAAGTTTGATAAAGTTAAAAGCTGAGTTTATAGTCATTTGAGTTCAAGTCATTGCTGTAGGGCTGCTCGATTATGGCAAAAATCATAATTGTTCTTACGTGTTCTGTCTCTGAGCGCATATATCTTCCTGAGGAAGTGCAAGTTCTCTTTAGTGCTTTTAAAAACATGAATAAATCTAATATACTTAAATAAATCAAGCACGTCCCATTTTGCAAAAGTCGCATTACATGATTTTACTGATTTACACATAAAATTGGGCTTTTATGGAGGAACGAAAGCGCAGCGCTGGAAAGGAGGCGGAATGGGGCGCAATAATAATTTTATCGTGATTATTGTATTTTCATAATCGTTGGAGGCCAAAATCGAAATCGAAACTGTTTTTGATTAATTGCACAGCCCTACATTGTTGTGTGCAATATTCCTCACATGGCTAGCCATAACAAAAAAATCTTGAACCTCAGTAACAGGGAATAAAGGGAATAATCCCAAAAACCTGATAAGACTTTCATAAGGGCAGTAACAGCAGAATGAGGCCAGACAAACTACTAACAACTTCCAAGACTAATGTGAGGAGTTGTGCATGAGTGTTCTATATAATCTGTTTTGTAGTATAAAAAGCCAGACCCATTATGCAGATATAAAGCATGTACTAAAAATTCCATTAACCTTGGGCAGCTTATCTTATGTGTAGAGAAATGCTATTCTATTTGAACCTCATATCTATTCAAAATTATAGAGCTGTCTTCACACCAAGCTACATGTAATGAAACTTATATAGCATTATCTTCCAAAATTCAGGAGGACGATACAGAGAAAAGACGTGTCGGAAAACTAAAAACAGCCCTCGAATATGTGATGAGAGTAAAAGTAATGAGAATGAGTGAGGTCAAAGGATATGCCTATATAAAAACAGTTTAAAAGCAAGTCATGATCTGTAACAACTTTCATTTGAAACACATGACCATTTCACTTCGCAAGGTCAAGGAATCGTAATTTGAACGATAGGAACTGCACAGACGACCTCTGAACCAAAAGCCATCAAAAGTAAAATTATGGCAAAAGGATATCATGATCATGAAGACAAAGAAATGGGGAGGGCAAAGGCTCACCTTGTGATCTCATCATCTCCCAGCATGCCTTTTGAGATAGGAGAGTACCGAGGTGGGGTGCCGGGGGTTAATGGCTGACTCAGATAGCTTTGGGTGCTGATATGATTCTCCATGTGCTGGGAATAGGCTGAAAAACCAAAACACAAAAGATATGATGTTATTGGCGTAATGATGAAAACTCATTTGACAATGTTCATAGAGGTCAGGACAGACAATCGCATCACTCGTATGTAATAATGTGAAGAATTACATGTACAGACAAGCCAAAGACTAAAACTGCTGAAGAAAAAAAAACTTGCTGTGTAAAAGTAAAATCATAATTGATCACTCCCTCTTTGCACACAATCTGCTTTTCTTGTAAATCAGCTCTCTTGTATACTAAACACTGCTGTTCAAAAGTTTGGGGTAAGTTTTTTTTTTTCTCACCAAGTCTTTTTATGCTCACCAAGGCTGCATTTATTTCACCAAAAATTAGATTTACATCAATGCACTTTTATCCGAAGCGACTTTCAAAAGAGGAGGTACTATTGTGAAATATTATTACAATTTACAACAACTGTTTTCTATTTTAATATATTTTAAAATGCAATTTATTCCTGGGATGATAAGGCCACATTTTTACTTTAGTCTTCAGTGTCACATGATCCTTCAGAAATCATTCAAATATGCTGATTTAGAGCTCAAGTAACATTTCTTATTATTATCAATATTAAAAACAGTTGTGCTGCTTAATCCTTTTAATCCATCTTTTTCAGAATTCTTTGATGAATAGAAAGTTCAAGAGAATGACATTGATTTGATAAATCTTTTGCAACATTATAGGTTAAATGTCTTTACTGTCACTTTTGATCAATTTAAAGCATCCTTGCTGAATAAAGGTATTAAGTTTTCACTTCAAGCTCCAAAAAGGACCAAAAGAACCCCATAAATGTTCCATAAACACAGTCCATATGACCTGTGCGCTATATTCAAAGTCTTATAAAGACAGAGTAGTAAAAGATTCTTCAAAAGTCCCTCACAGCGTTCTACATAAAAACAAATAATGCTACCACTTTCTATTTTAATGTGTCCTTGTCACACTTTACATGCATTTACTATAATAATAAAATCAATTCTGTAGTAAATTATGCACAGTTAAAATCAACTAACACTAAACCCTAATAAAGTAAATACATGTTGTTAATTAATTTCACTTATTACTTAATTGTGAAATTACACTGTAAAAAGGAAACATTAAAACAAAGGATTACACTTTATTTTAAGGTGTAAAATGCAGCTAAAATAAATTGTTTGCAACCACTTACCTTAAAAAAAAAAAATAGTAAAAATGTTTTCAGTGTATATGGTTAGGGTTAGGATTAGGGTTTGGCTTAAGGTTACTTGCATATAATTAAGCATAATTTATTGTTATTATAATAGTAAGTACACGTAACGTGTAACAAGGACACCTTAAAATAAAGTGTTACCAAATAAAGTGTAACCAAAATAACAACATAAGCACAATGTAGCTTAAACACCAGAGAATAGAGCTAGCAAGGACATACGTTTGATTTCCATGGAAATCAATACATGAACTGATCAAATGCAATTATATTGGAAAGAAGCATTCTCCAAGTGCATAAATCTAAATGAACCAACATTAGCATCTGTAAATAATGGCAAATTTTTCATTTTGTGTGAGCAAAATCCTTTTAAGGCTCTGTAATTGATGTCACTACTATGAAAGATGTGTCCTTATTTGACTGTGTCAGATGTAAAGTGTAATAAAGTCAAGGGTACGTACTGGGCAATTACTAACTGCAGACATTGACAACCTATTTATTTAATTCTCATCAAGCAGTCCTTCATGTGTCAAATCCCTACGCAGTGCCTGACTGGCTGACAGACAGATATAATGAAATGGGACCACTAATGAAATTGTTCTGTTTACGCCTTCTGAGAAAAATCACATTGCACGCACACACATGACCCGAGACATTGTTGTCTGCATGTGCAGATATCCTTACACGGCTTTAAAACTCCCTCTGCAACACAGATGAAGGACTCTTTTCTTCATATACTTATGCTGGATTTGCCGGATGGGGGAGCTGGCCACGTGATGCACTTCATGATTAAATGTGCTTTTGTCCTTCATGCCTTTAAGCCCTAATGACAGCTTCCTTTCTCAGAATCTAATGCTGGGGGATCTGGCCTGCCTCTGGAACATCACCAAGGTGCTACATTATCGACTGTCATCACTCAGCACTTTGCACAGTCAATTTTAGTGGCCGTCCTCACGAGTTGCTGCCCCCATCAGGAGAAAGTGCTGTGTCTAGCAGCTTTGCGGTGGGATTTAAGTTATAAGTGCACATGGGACCTCAGAACTGAGTCAAAGTGCCTTTAAGGCAAGTCGGTTCATTCTCTGACCATATTGATAATGCCTCCATGCTGTTATTTTCTATGTAAGTAAAATACTTTTTCTTTTAATAAAAAAAGAATACAGTATGAAATAGTAAGGAAAAGCTTACTTACAGCTGGTGACATCGGGAGGAACGTAACTATCATTCATAAAGACACTAGTGGGTTTCGCCACTTTTAAATAGACGACATCAGGGGTGTTTTTCAAGGCAGCCACGGCATCTTCATGAGTGACCTCTTCAAGGCAAACTGCATTCACCTGTAACCAGTGTTGGGAGTAACGCATTACAAAAGTAATAATATTACAGTAGTATATTACTTTTTGCTGTAACGCAGTAATATAACGCATTACTAATAAAATTTGGGTAATATTATTTGGCTTGTTTAGCAACTTATATTTTTCATTCTTGTTTTCTTCTGAAACCGTTCAAATTTGCCTATAGGGTAGGTATTGTGTTTATTGTTTGTACATTATAACATTTCGCTTCATTTACTGGTGTTATTTATTATTATTATGAATGTAATAATGCGGTTTGTGCTTATGTGTTTAACCTAAACTACAACGTAACATTAATGTAGACCTACATACCGGTATCTAAATATGATTTTATAATTTTATGCCATATAGACCTATCACATTACCCTCCACTGTATGTAGAATGAGCAGCAATAAACTACATTTTGGCATTTTATAATACTTCTGTGGATATTTTGGTGAAAGTAACTCAAAAGTAGTGTAACGCATTACAATTCAGAGACAGTAATATTGTAATGTAACTAATTACTTTCAAAAGACAGTAACTAGTAATATATAATGTATTACATTTTGGAAGTAACTTGCCCAACACTGCCTGTAACCGAGCACATGATTAGATGAATCCTTCAGATGAAACAAACAAAATGAAAGTTTGGGGTGAGTTAGATGTGTTAATGTTTTTGAAATTAGTCTTTTATGGTCACCAAGGTTGTATTTATTTGATAAAAAATACAGTAACAGTAATATTGTGAAATGTTATAACAAATTAAAATAACTGTTTTAACACATTGTAAAATGTGACCCTGGACCACAAAACCAGTCTTAAGTCGCTGGGGGATATTTGTAGCAATAGCCAAAAAAAACATTGTATGGGTCAAAATTATAGATTTTTCTTTTATGCCAAAAATCATTAGGATATTAAGTAAGGATCATGTTCCATGAAGATATTTTGTAAATTTCCTACCGTAAATATATCAAAACTTAATTTTTGATTAGTAATATGCATTGCTAAAGAATTCATTTTGACAACTTTAAATGCGATTTTCTCAATATTTCCATTTTTTTTGTACCCTCAGATTCCAGATATTCAAATAGTTGTATCTCAGCCAAATATTGTTTTATCATAACAAACGTTTTTGAAAAGGTTTTGTGGTCCAGGGTCACAAATGAATTTATTCTTAATTTATTCTTGAAATGGCAAATTACTCCAGACATTAGTGTCACATGATTCTTCAGAAACCATTCTTGTATGTTGATTTGGTTATAATAGCACTCTTGTAAACAGTTGTGCTGCTTATTTTTGTGGAAATGGTGATACGTTTTTTTTTTTTAGGAATTTTAAAAGAACAGAATGTCCAAAAGTAAAGCATTTATTTTTTTTGTAACAACATTTTACTGTGATTTTGATCAATTTAATGCATCCTTATCAGTGTTGGGAGTAATGCATTACAAAAGTAATAATATTACAGTAGTATATTACTTTTTGCTGTAATGCAGTAATATAATGCATTACTAATAAAATTTGGGTAATATTATTACTCGTTACAATCTCAGTAACGCAAGTTACAACAACATTTTAACTCAAAATTAAGTGGTGAATTTACCAACACCGCAAAACAGCACCAGAGAAAAAATTCCGCGGGTAAAATAGTTTGTCTATTTCCTGTTGCTGGAATTAGATGGTTGAGATGACTGCAGAGACGGATTCTACATTTGTGAGATGGACACACTCTTATTTTCAGTTCGTCAGAGAAAAGGATAAGAATGCATAGTCAGGTGCAATATGTGCGACACCAAACTCTCAACATGGAGAAATAGCACGAGTTATCAGACAGAGCTCCGGGGTCGGAGAAGAGAAAAAAGGCGGCGGACGAGCGCAGCGCAGACAAGCAACAAAAATAAGTTTAACCAAAAATAACAAAATCTGTTTTTATTAAATCATAGTCTATAAAAATAATGAATATGCGAAATATTTGACTTAAATGGCCTAATTAACAGATTAACCAAACGAAAGGAAAAGACTGAGAGATATGCTGCTGAGTTTGGTTCTATTTGTGTGGCGCAGCGCTCTACAAAAGTCCACGGAAAGGAAACCGAGATGA